GCCAAACAACAAACAACGGGACAAGACCAACCAGGATATCAAAACACTCTTGCCTGCACAAAAAAAAAGAAATCCCAAATACATGTCTACATATCTACATACAGCAGATGCCCTTGTTCGTCATCAAGACGTCAGTATTCCCATTTCTACACCATTCATGCTCTCATAGACCGAACAACCTCCCCCCCCCCCCCCCCCCCCAAAAAAAAAAAAAACGGATGACTGGTCCCACATGAAAGCACTGCTTCGCTACGCTCTCACAAAAATAGACGGAACCGAACAGCAAGGGGACAAAACCAACCGGGATGCAGACAAGGGTGCCAAAAAACAAACATAACAGATTCTAGATGACAAGTCCCACATGCTAGCACCGCCCCCTATGCCAAAAAACAAACATAACAGATTCTAGATGACAAGTCCCACATGCACGCACTGCCCCCTACATCACAGGCCAAACGACGGGACAATGACCAACCTGGATAGCAATCAACACCCTTGCTTGCCAGAAAAACTATATAAAGACAATCCCAGATGACTATTCCCACCTAAAAGCACCGCCTCCCATCAATAGGCCAAACAATGGGAAGCAGCCAACTAGGATGCCACAAGGAAAAAAAAAAAAACGGATGACAAGTCCACATGAAACCACCGCCACGTGGACCGAGCAACCCACGTAAAAACAGGGCCACGTGGACGGAACAACGAGACAAAACCAACCGGGAGGCAGATAAAGAGTACCAAAAAATACCAACAATTCTACCATAACCAACACTTGAGAAAACGGAACCACACAGTAGGTCCGTAAAACGAAATACCCCAACAATGGGGAAGAGCAAAGCAAAAAGAAAAAAAGAAAAAGGATAAAAAGGATAGAAAGGAGAACTAGAAAAGAGTATATTCTACCATAGCCAAAGAAAGAGCCTGGGTTCAGCCTCCTCATGAGTGGGGGAATACATATATATCGTCACATGAATATCAGAGCGCAAAAGCAAAAAAAAAACAGAAAGACAACAAGAAAACTATTAATTCCTTTTTTTTTATCTTCTTCCTTACGACTCCCCCTGTTCAGAACCTCTTGCGTACAAGGCAGCCTCGTGATGAGTCAGTGGGTGGAACTCCCACGAAACAGTTTGTCACAGCCCCCCCCCTCGTTTGTTGTCCTCTTCTCCCTCCCTCTCTTCCCCTACGGTTTACGGGGCAGTTCTGTTTGCCAATCAATACAAACACAGTATATAATATATATCGTATATATCGTTCGTCAAACACAGTATATAATATATATCGTATATATCGTCACAATATCGTATATATCGTATATATGTTATAACTGCAGAGGGTTCAGCGTCCTGATGAGTCGGTGAAACTCCGACGAAACAGTCTGTCACATCCCCCTCTTTTTATTGTGCACTCCACTTCTCCCCCTCTCTGGTGCAGTTTAGTGGCCAGTTCTGCTTCATGATATATGCGCATATATATCGTCACATATACACATACATTTATGTTCAGCCTCCTGATGAGTGGGTGAAACTCCGACGAAAGACACTGTCACAGTCCCTCGTTTGTTGTCCTCTTCTCCCTCGAGTCCTCTCCGTCTCTCCCTGCGGTTTACCAGGCAGCGCTGTTTGACGATTTAATATATAAATAAATATAGACACATATACATACATGTTCGGCCTCCTGATGAGTCGGTGAAACTCCGACGAAACAGTCGGTCACAGCCCCTCGTTTCCTGTCCGGACGTCAACTGCTGACGCGTAAGTCTTCGCTGCAACCGTGCTGGAGTGGGCTGAATGTCACGACCCTGGTATGGCTTTACTTTTCAAGACCCTGGTATGGCTTTATTTTTCCACACGGGGTCACTGCTGCAGTGGTTAAAAGGCATCCGGCTGTTATGGCCGAGGTCAACGGTCCGATTCCGTCTGCCTGCGGTTCGATCAGGGTTACACCGACAAAGACTACCTACAGTTCTCTACGACGATATATGGTACAGACTGGGTACTTCATTTGAGACACTTCTCTTCAATGATATACAGTACAGACTATGTACTGTGTACTTCATTTGAGACACTTCTCTTCAATGATATACAGTACAGACTATGTACTTCGTATAGGTACAGACTATACCCACACGCTCTACCAACTTTTTCTGTGGAATTGAACATGATAACAAACACACATTTTGTATTATCTCATACACATACATAGTCACAGAGTACCAACACACACACACAGACACACACACACACACACACACACACACACACACACACACACACACACACACACACACACACACAC